ATTGCCGGCCTTTGAAAGAGAAGTATGCTCTTTAAATTTAATCTATACTAATATAATAAAGTTCTCGCTTTGTGTTTTGTAACGTGTTATTTTAATGAATAAACTAAAAACTACATACTTTTAAGTAACATTCCTTTGTTATTTCCGAAATGTTAAAAATTTACAATGTATTTTCTTATTAACGATTATAAGGTAACGACATAAAAGTTGGTATTAAGTGTGAAAGGTTGAATGAATAGTAGGTGGTTGAATATTTCAAAGGGGGAACGCTGCCAGTATCTTCGGAACCTTGCCTAAAGGGACCTTTTAATAATATATTTTTGTTCAGTAGCGTAACAATAGGGTGCAGTGCTGGTAAAATGCCACGGGGCCACGACCAAGCGGACCCCTGCCCAAGAGATATTGTGTTCTATGGATGAATGTGAAGACCAATACCAATACGCATTGGGCTAGAGACTACAGACCATTCCCTCTCGCCTAAGTGAGGAGGCCTATGGCAATTAGTGGGACATATATAACGTGTAATTGAAAACGCTGAAAATCTCGAAGTTTATTAAAATTAAACTGAGTACAACGTGACGATTTTTACTGATAGGGCCCCATCAAAAGCATTTGCAACGGGCCCCAGTTTGTATAGTTACGCCACTGTTTTAGTTATTATATTTTAAGGTTTGTAATAGATTTTGTTTGTATATCTAATTGAATTAAACAAATACCATGTTTTATTGTTTTCGATGAAGTAATTTTCTTACAATGTTTTCAACAAATGATAAATTATCAGAACTATTTGGACATTGACTACATATTTTTCATGTACTTCATTCGCCAATAAAAATGCTAGGTAGTCCATCAATCGCGGTCGGCGTGAAGCGTAAAACTAATAATTAAACTGGTTCAATTCCGCGCCAGGTCAGCCCGACTCTGGGGATTAAAACTAAATTGCGATCACTGTACATATATTAACTTATAGGCTGAGTTTGTACAGAGGCCGAATGTCACATTTAATTACTAGTTTCAGTTCGTGTTACATGTCTAGAGGCTCTTCAGCCTTATGTGGTTCAACAGTCCACAATTGCTGATCTTGATCATTTCCTTATCTGCAAGTAGGTGTTAACATAAATATTCACTGTTTTTTTGGTAAATTGAAGTTGTAGATAAAAATTTTGTAATTCTTATTAAAAGTTTATTGTATTTCCAACCTAATATAAAAAACACATATGTACAACACAACAGAAAAAAAATATTATTATTAAATCTTTATTAATGAATCCATACAATATTATTTAGTGTACATTTCACAATTTTTAATTTTTTTGAGATATGTATATTAAATTGCCTTAAACATGATTAAGAATGTATAATAAACATTATAAAGTTCAGTATTTCATTGGGCCTACTATAGTGTTGGGTTGGAACTTGAGGTTGGCGCATCTAGGCCACCTTAGAGGGCCTTGATTTCAACGACCGTTCGTGTGGCGGGATGCGGACAACAGATGCACAGCAACGATTACCACATTACCCTTCACGAGGCAGCAGTGCCCCGGCAGGGCATGCGTAACGTAATTTCCCACGAAAACACTGCTTTTCGATACTTCCATACACTGCTTGCTAATACAATTATGATATCGTCTGACCAGTGTTTTTTCTACCTATTCACCGTTTACCGTTAGGGCCGGGCCATTTTGTCATATTATATGACCACCTTATGTCATGCTATGTATATGTGTCTTGCCACTTTGGTTTCAGAGCGTGGCTTTAGTTTTTGAAATACCATAAATTATTAAGTACATATTTTATTATAAACGCGAATTATTACTCTATTTACATAACCAATTACAATAAAAATTCTATATTTTGTCGTTCATAGCATATAATATTTTTAATAATTATTTAAGAATTAAGGAGTCGCGAACTATGTTTCCCGTATATCAACATCCAATACATTTTTGACATATGGGACTAAGGCTTAGTATTGTTTCCTATCCAAAGAAAAGCACAGTAATGAGATCTCTATATATAAGTGTCCTATGAGGAATCTATGCAAATACATTGTGGACTAAGTAAATAGGCTATTTTTATCGTCGCAGCTTGTTTATAGTCGCCTCATTTGGCATTCTTCCACCGGCCAGCGGCTTTTAACTCCTTTAATTATTGCAAGCTATACAGCTTATAGGCTTAATTATTTTTACTATTTTGCTAATTTATTAAAACAAATACATTCCTAAATTTTCTATGAGATACGTTCCTATCCTTTGTTGCAAGAACCGTAAGTCTATAATTAATTTATTATGATATTAAAACAAATAACTGCTACTTGAATTTGTATAAATATTATTTCTTAATATAACAATATCAGAAAATAGCTTAAAATAATAGAAAATTTTGTAAATTTATATATTTAATACATTTTAAAATAAAATTTTAGTAATAAAATTGTATTTTGCCTATTTTTATATTAATGTCGACATGCAGTTTTTCATACACAAGAACACATCCAATAAGTTATATAAAATCTCTTCAATATTTTAGTTCGCGTTTCATCGCGTCCAAACTGGCCAATTCCTGGTTAATATATGGAAATGGAATAATAAATAACCCATATCAAGAACAATATCTCTTGGAACGAGAAAATATGGCAAAAATACAATTACCCAATCTATCAGTGAGAAATAAATTCGGGAAGTTGATATAGAGTTGTTTTAATGGCATTTAAAGAACAATGTAGTATAATTTACGTGGTTCCCTGGCAGCTACGAGTTTCATTCTGGATTGAGGCCAACATTTTACATAATATAGGTTTTAATAGCTCAACTTACGTATCACTGTTTAATATGCTTGATTGCGACACTAAATTGCATTCCTAAGATGATATGAAATAGCAATTACCAATAATAGGTTATAACAGATATTTGCCGTAAATTAGACGTGGATTTAATGTATGAAACAATAATTTTATTCAATTGAATGGAAATTAAGTCAAAATTTAATATTTTGTAATATGTTTATTAATCCCGTAATCTGACACGAAACTCTGGGCAAACGTATTAATATATCAATATACGAAACCTATATGTTTAACTTATGCTCATTATTGACAAGGACAAAAAGAGGTTTTTCAACAAAATTTTATATATGCAGCAACGTTGCGCCATCTGACAAAAGTGTACGTGGTAAACTAATGAAGTACATATACAAAAAAAAAGTGTGTGCGTACAAAGTACACATGTTAGAAGTGAAACTTCTTTGGCAAACTAATTTTTAAGTCTTGTTCATATTTATACAAATCTAAAACTTTAGATTTCCAAGACTTAGGGGGAGAGAAAAAGGAAGCTATATGTTAGGAATTTAATTGTCATTAAAATATTAAAAGTGTCGAAAATTAGATTTTTTTTTTAATAAAATAAATAATTGAATTAAATTACAAATTATAAATTTAATATTTATAGTTTATTTCTTCTAAAATAAAATACGTGGCATTTTACAACTCGTCATTTGAGATTTCAATAAATTATTTTGCATAAAATATAAAATATTACATAAATTCTCTTTACGAAATTTTAATTTTAAAATAGAATTTCTATAAGGTAATTCTTTCTTCTCACTCTGTCTCAATCAATCGCTCTCTCCCTTTTCTTCGACAAAAACGCTGCCATCTTCGTGACGTTCCGTAAAATTATTACCATAGAAAAAGACCTTTTTAACGGATTTGAATTGTTTTATTATAAATTTACAATTATTAAAAAATCAGCAAATTACAAAATCAGCAGTCTGTGAACACACACTAGATAGGCCCAATCACTACACACGCTTTGACCAAGCGAATGTAATTGCGAAAGAAAAAAGATTCTTCCCAAGATTGGTACGCGAAGCCATTGAAATCAAAAAGCACCCCAATTTCAATAGAGAAGACGGCCTAAAATCGTCAAACACCTGGGATCCAATAATATCCAAATTAAAATCTCAAGATAAACAATCCGCGAAAATAGAGGACACCGTGAGCCATTTCTGCCAAAACCCTCCATCTTTTAGTCCATACCAACTCCGGGGAAATAAATACAGATAACACAACTTTTTCTACAGCTGTGATAATTTTTGACATTCAACACCTTTTGTCTTCAGTCACCGTGACCACGCACGCCGTAAAGCACGCGAAACGTCGGTTAAATTTAAAATTAATTAAAATAATTGTTAATTTATAATAAAACAAAACTTATAATCCGTTAAAAAGTGTTTTTCTATGTCTAAAACTTATGTCAATAAAAGACAATACTAAAACCCTCATGCGCCTAAAGAAGTTTCACTTCAAAAATATCATATTTTCTACGACTCCTAATATATGTACGATAATCAACTGGATTTGTCATAGAAATATTTGTAGCTGTGGTCAAAGACCTATTTCACGAGGGCGTTGTTCTTTGTCAATCTTATAATAGAGCAGCTGGAAGAACACTCAAGATGGTTTTCTTTCAAAGTTATGAATGTGTTATTTTATTCTAAACCTTTTCTCATGTACGGGGTTTGATCCTATTCCTATCTATACGAGAATTATATATATATATATATATATATAATTCTCGTATCACAATGTTCGTTCCCATACTCCTCCGAAACGGCTCGACCTATTCTTATGATTTTTTTATGCATATTCAGTAAGTATGAGAATCAGCTACTATCTATATTTTAAACCCCTAAGTGATAAGGGGTGTCCAACCCAAAAATAGGGAGTAATGGGGGAGAACGGATTTAACATCTTTCCGGCCCCAACTGTCAACCTCACCTGCACGCGCGGACAACACATCATCCGCGGCGGTATTCCTATACCGTGGTCCCCCTGCTAGATAACAGACGAGGCAATGGCGACCGAGCAGTGGCGGTATAACCACATACCTGACCAGAAGTCAGAAGAGGCTACAGCGGCCCTGGGGTTCAAATAATCCCTAAGAGAACTGGTGCAGAAGGCAACGGGAAACCACTGCAGCTAATCTCCTGAGAAAATCGTTATGGAAGTAGACACAAAAGAATCACGACTGCCATGCGAACCGCCTAGCCAGCAGCACCGCGCCGCGTCCGGGGCGAGCGGTGGGAAATGGACTACCGGCCATGTTGGAGTAAGAGACCAGGCTCCACGTGGAAATAATACTACTGGAAACTCCGTCAAGTTGCGAAAAATCCAGAAGATAGGCACGTGGAATGTTCGCGGGTTTTTAAAGCCTGGTAAACTTAATATCGTGGAGAGGGAAGTCACCAGATGTGGTTTATCCATTTGCGGTCTAACAGAAACGCACTGGAGAAGCAACGGGCACTTCTTTACCGACGCCCATGCTGTTTACTTTTCCAGTAGCGATGACAGTAGCCAAAACGGAGTAGCGATTCTAATTCCTAAGCATCAGAATAACAGTGTGATAGGGTATGAGGCAGTTAGCGACCGCATTATGTCTATGAAGCTCAAAGCGTCACCTGTAAACTTGAACCTAATACAGGCATATGCCCCCACTAGTGAACCTCTACCTCTCGTACTGGAGAGTTTTTACCAAGATTTACAAGCAACAATTGCCAAAATTCCCAATAGAGAGTTACTTATAATAATGGGTGATTTCAACGCAAAAATTGGCTCAAACTCTGCCCAGTACAGCAAATCAGTGGGAAACTTCGGACTTGGGGTACGTAACGAAAGAGGTGAAAGATTCACGCAGTTCGCAGACGAGAACAACATGGTAGTGGTGAACAGTCTATTCCAACACCATCCCCGTAGACTGTTCACCTGGACGTCACCTGGAGGTAGAACCAAAAATCAGATCAACTACATACTGATAAGATCACGTTGGCCACCTCTATTCTTAATGCCCACACGCTTCCTGGGGCTGATTGTGGTTCCAATCACGAACTCGTTATCGCAAAGATGAGGTTGAAGCTCAAAGCCGCTCGATCCTCCAAGAAGACAAGACGGATTGAAGTAGCAGATAACGAGAAATTCACTACAGCCATTGAGCGGAGTTGGACAGATTGGACAGTTGTAAACCACACCGACGCTACACCAGACACGCTATGGAATAAGGCTAAACAACTCATCCAAAATGCAGTCACGGAGTCTAGTCCGGGATCAGAAACTTGCAAACGTCAACACTGGATGACGGACAGTACCCTTGCGCTTATAGAAGAGGGGCGCTTTAAGAAAGCCGCAGGAGCAGACATAAGAGAACTGAATCGGCTGTCTGCAAATATCCAAGCCTGCTGCAGGCGAGACCATAATTTCCACCTTCATAGCATTTGTGACGAACTTGAAAAACATCACGTGTCTAGAGATCTTTACCACAAAATTCGTCTAATTACTAAATCTCTACCTGCTAAAACCTGGGCTATCGAGAACGACAAAAATGAAGTGGTAACAGAACTCGAACAGATCTCTGAAACGTGGAGGAGCTATTGCCAGTCATTGTTCCTGGATGCGCAGTCGCGACTGTCTATAAGCACAGAACCAGAGCCAGAGAATTTGGAACCAGACATCCTTCTGTCCGAAGTAAGAACTGCCATAAAACACCTGAAAAGCAATAAAGCAACTGGTAGAGATGCAATTCCTATAGAGACAATTAAAGCCTTAGGAGAACGTGGCGACCAGATGTTTCATCTCATCTGCAATAAGGTGTCGCAGACAGGAGTTTGGCCTTCGGAATGGACACACACCATATTCACACCCCTGCACAAGAAGGGCTCAACGAAGAAATGTAACAATTACCGCCTCATTGCTCGGATACCACACGCTAGCGAAATATTGTTACATATTCTCAACGAGCGCCTGAAAGCCTAACTCTCTAATGAGATCGCTCCGGAACAGGCCGGTTTTGTCAAGGGGAAAGGCACTCGGGAACAAATTCTTATTTTACGCCAGATCATAGAGAAGTCAAAAGAATTTAATAAGCCCGTGTTCATTTGATTTGTTGATTTCTCAAAAGAATTCGACTCTGTGAGATGGCCGGTGTTGTGGAAGACTCTGGTAGATATAGGCACACCAAAACATCTTGTGCACCTTTTAAGACGGCTTTATGAAGAAGGCTCAGCTTCAGTACGCATAGATGATGTCCTATCAGGTGATTTCCATCCTAGTGCTGGAGTACGCCAGGGTTGCATAATATCACCGCTCCCATTCAACGTGTACACAGAGCTAATAATGCGCATCACTTTGGAAGACTGGACAGGCGGTGTAACAATTGGTGGATACAGAATTGCAAACCTGCGTTACGCGGATGATACCACTTTGTTTGCATCCAGTTCGCAACACTTGGAAGAGCTTCTGTCAAGGATGGAACGAGTGAGCCATGAGTTTGGACTAAAGATAAATCGCAGCAAAACCAAGGTGATGATTGTTGACCGTGCCAGAAATAATTCGCCTCAAGTTACTCAAATCGCGAAATGCAACGTGGTCCAATCTTATGTTTATCTTGGGGCTCAGATTTCAAGCAATGGCGGATGCATCGATGAAGTTAAACGACGTATGGGCATCACAAGAACGGCGATGGACAAAATGCAAAAAATATGGAGAAACAGGAATATAACAAAAGCCACGAAGACCAGGCTCGTGAAGACACTTATATTCCCCATATTTCCGTACGCAGCCGAAACGTGGACCTTGCAAGATGTGGAAAAGCAGAAAATAGACGCTCTGGAAATGTGGTGCTGGAGGAGAATACAAACGTCTCGATAGTTCAAGAACTCGGTATTAAGCAGCGTCTGTTTTCAACAGTACAATCTCGCATCCTTACATTCTTCGGACACGTATCTCGGCGTGGTAATCAGTCCATAGAACGCCTTGTCGTCCAGGGGAAGGTGGAAGGCACTAGACCGCGCGGAAGGTCACCCACACGTTGGTCTGACCAAATCAAGTCTGCCGTAGAAGACTCTCTCAATCAGTGCAGCAGGATGACCTCTAATAGGCAAGATGGCTAAACGTCGCGAAGCGCATCACATCTGCCCCTACTATTCAAATTCTTCCTAGCGATCACGACCGCTCTGTCAAGAGTGCACCGGATAGGAAGAAGATACAAAAATACATACAACCCATCATTTTTACCCCTCTACGATTAACCCCTATTTTTTATTATTGTAGATAGTTATTTTTATTGATCTTAAACAATGTTTCTTAGAAATAATATACATGGCAAAACATTGTTTGTCGGGTCAGCTAGTAATTTCATAAAATTTTAAGTCTACTAACGCGACAAGTAGTTTTAGCAACACCCTGTACAGAAAAAAGAAACTTTCATATAGGCTTCAAGATTTTCCAAAACAAATCTGACAATATTCCCACCTTTCCCGATATTATAAAACATCACAAAGGAGCCAAATTAAAGCTCTCTCTAAAGTTGTCTCAGTAAAATAATGGTGCATTAATAGCGGTGTCCATTTCCTCAAAGTCGATCGACTCGCCATGATTGAGTTCTTCCCTCTATAACGTTATTAGTTGGCTCTTTGATCCCAGCCAGGTTAGCAAAGGCTATATTAAAAGGATTTCTCGAGGTCTTAAAGAAATAGCGCTTTAATCAACTTTTCTAAGACAAAAAATACTAAAGGATTTTAATAGCGACTACCAGTGTTGCTAGTGACAATGTATTTTTCAATGGACCATTTCTTTAGATTTTCAAATAGCGACTTTATTATTTTTTATATTGTTCTATAAATGAAATCGTTGACAAAGGATTCATTAATTGCGTGACGTTATAGTGTATTATTTTGTATCGATAATTTAAGCAATTTATTATAGTATATATTAAAATTGCATTTATTTATATTATAGATCACTGGTAAAATTAAATTACGTTAATTTGCATTTATACGGAGTGTATTGTGATTTTGTTAGCTTAATACTTTTATTTTATTAAAATTATTTTGATACGCTGAATCTGAATTGAAAAAGTGTAACTGCGTTCTTCCTGATAGACACAGAGACATTTGAAAAGAAATATAGGCCCCTAGCAATGATTAGTTAATATTACTTATTGGATTAATTTTTGTTATTTTTAATTTAAAGTAATTGAAAGTGTACTGCGGTTTGGCCTTTCAGGCAACAAGATAAAACCCTTAGTGGTTTTTGTCACAACCGTTTTGGATGATGTCATGGAGGTTTCATATTATTAAAATTAATCAAAATACATGGTAATGCGTTATAATAATGTTATAATATGAGCGCTTGTGTTATATATAAACCGTATGTTTTGGTGTCTATTTTGCATTATATAAGTAAAATTTAATGTTTTACGAAACGTATGTAACTGAGAAACATAAAAAATATTTTATAAAATATCATTTATACGATCGCCGGTACTATAAATCAAAAGCGATTGCGTTTTCGACTTCAATAATGAGGTTTTATACATCGCGATCCGTAGACAACACGAGGATTACATCGGGATTGCACACAAAAACGTCAGTCAATGAATTTTTTTATTTTTAACTATTTACGTAACGCATATATTTAATATTTTTAGAAAATTGTCTTTTTTTGGTGCACAAGTCTAATAAGTTACATTATAACCACCAACAATTCTGCACTACATACAATTAATCAATTAGTTGCCTATAAAGATTTTTTTTTATATAGAACAGGGGGCAAACGGGCAGGGGGCTTAGACAAATTGCCTTAACAGTAGTGTATGTAGAAAGTCGAAAAATATATTTGTCGACATGAACTGTCATTTACATACAAATTTAGTTTTCGACGTTGCACTCTATTTGTTTAACATATCCCAACATAGCATTTAACACTAATTAACGATAATTTATTATTTCCCATATTTTTTTAACTAATCGCAAACAGGCTACTAATGAGACCCAAAGTTTAACTTTTAACAGAAGCAAAACGTGTTAAATTGAATTAACAATTTCTGAAGTGCGATAATTTGTATGGTATAATGTTGAATAGTTCTTCGGTAAAATTGCAAGTCTAGAATAGCGTTTATTATCCCGGACAAATGCACTGTTCTCATAATATACTTTCATAAGATAAAAGTCGTTTAATATCTAGTTAGCAATTATCCAAAAAACTAATATTCAGTTATATAATTTTTTTAAACGATCTTGTAGAAGTATGCATCAGATTTGAAGGTATGCAAAGGTTAATAACCTTTGGCAGGCTAATTAGATTTTCTCTGTTGTATCATCGAGAGACAAGTCATGTCAAGCAAGACCTTATTACATAGTATAAAAGATGGGATTTGTTATGAAAACAAATATCTTTTTGTTTTATGTTGTATAAAATAGTTTGAGCAAGAAATGTTTCATCAGAAGTTTAACTTCGAACAAATTTGATGAATTGATTTTAAATTAGAATCTTTTTTACATCTTAAATAGATTTAAGTTTAATTCCCAACACATAAATATACAGTATTTACAATATTTTTAACCTACATAGAAAAATAATAATCAAAATTTAAAATTATTTATAAATAAAGATAAAAACGAATTTAAAAAGTTTGGTCCCTGTAACTCTGGCAGCATTTCCTCGCTGTATTGCGATAGTTATTCGTTAAGTGAGGAAACCACCAGATCTGGTACTATCTATCGCTAACTTAAAGCTTTAATTTGCGCCTGTGCACTTGAACCTCACGAACCAAGTGTCTCTACTCCAAAGGGAACAAAATGAAAGTTGGAGGACTTTTTATTCCTATTATTACTTTCCGCATGCTTTGTGGCCGCCCCGGCTTTCTTTGCTTGTCCGAGGGTGAGACGGGGCTAACGTGTCCACACAAGTAGCATCCCATACTAAAGCCCGTAAAGACATCTTATATATCAAAATTAAAAACATTTCGCAGCAAATTAATGATGAAGGGCGCACTGGTGAAACCTCAGGGTACAGCAATCCAAAATCACAAATAGTTCTTATTTTAAAAAACATTACATTGTAAAACTTATTGCCAAAATAAAACGAAAGATTCACTGTAACAGGCCGTCAAGTCAGCGCGTGTTATTGAAAGTCCAATTAATGCCTCAATCGGGTCAGACCACCCACTTGCTCCGGATTTAACACTCAACTCTGATTTATACTTGCTGCCACATTAATGAGATTAGCGACTGGCGAGTTATACAAGTAGTTTTGTCTAAGCACTTCGAGGCTAAGGGTTTTTATTTTATATACGAACTCGATTGGATTTTGCTTTGTGTCTCAGGTGGAATGCTGACCTAGCCACTTGTTCAACAATATTCTCGCATAATATTTCCTCGAAAATGTGTGGCTTATTTAGCAAGTATTGGTATGTCATTAAGTACACTCTGATGTTTTTATGTGTGTAGTTATATTCTTATCAAAAAGTAATGAATAAAACTTAATATACTGCAAATAGTTTTGTATTAGCTATCATGAAATCAGGTACAAGTAGACGTGGTTTTAAGTTTGTTATTATATCTAGAAAATATTTACCAAATATTAAGACATGTAACTTACTGACTTCACAGAAGATGAATTTAACAAAGTGCTTTCAAAGTAGGTTACACGTATAAAAATTATTTCTAGTACAATGATATCAAACATAATATTATTCTTATATAAAATATACAGTTGTTTTTTCCCTCAACCCATATTACATCTATTAATTTTGATATTTTTTACCTTCAAGATTAGAACGTGTATGTACGTTTTTTTATAGAACAGGGGGCAAAAGGGCAGGAGCCTTACCTGATGTTAAATGATACTGCCGCCATTACTCTCAATGCAATGAGAGAATTTTGTGGTACGCTCTTGAAGAACCTTAAGTCAAATATACTTCAGAGGGTACCTGGTGCCACATAGTGGTGGTGCGCAGCAAAAACTGCCTTATG